AACTGGCTTGTGGTCGGAACTGTAAATCTCATCCATTGAGTCATAGGAACATAAATTTGCACTAACCTTCTCCTTCTCATCTACTTTGAACAAGATCCTGTCCGTCCACGATGGTACTCTCACCTGTCATCAACACCCTTAGTGTATAGAAAATGCATTTTCTCAACAAGGATACTAACATATCCGCTAGCAGCATTTTACCTTATAACTGCTGTCGTATTTGCTACTTCCGACGTTGTATTTGTAGGTCGGTTTGAACGACAATGTTCCTTCGCAGTAGCCATCGAATATGCGTCCTCTTTCCGCTTCTTGCAGAAGCTGATCTCTGCTCCTTAGCAGCTGCATGCAACACCACATCACAATGTATTAGTTTTTTGAAAAAACGGTCTATTAGGGAGAGGATTATTGGAAGAGAGTCCAACGTTATCTAATTAAGAAGATGATCATGAGTTTATAAGTAATACATCTTTATTGGTAGAGTCTTTTTTAGAAAACCAAAAGTAAAGGCATGAGAACTTATACGCGAGGTGGACAATATTATACCATTGTAGAGATTCGTGATTCCTAATATGGTATCAGAACCTTGTACTAAGACTCTTGTTCGAAGAGAGGAATATTGAGGATAGTTAAGAAAGAGTCTCACATTGGCCATTGGCCTATTAAGAGGATGATCATGGGTTCGTTCATAAACAAGTAATACATAAGTCATGAGAGCTTAGTAGACAATGTCATATTATTATAGAGGTTTGGGATTCCTAACCTATTAAGCACGAGATTACTTACGAAAAGAAGATTTTTACGGATCAAATTCCGAGCTGGGTGTGTGCTGATCCCTTCAATTCTGTAGTTGAGGTCCCCCAACCAAACGGTGACTTGAGCGGGCAATGCATAAGGGTTCCATTTCTTTGAAAATAACGAGTGCGTTATATGTTTGCACTCCGAGTTCCTCTCCTCTACCTTGTGAGCGTGAGCTGCGGATACCAAAACGTGCCACTAATACTGAAAGAAGATTCATGGCTTGGAAATGGAGGCTTGTTTTGAATGAGTTTTCAAGCTCAAATAGAATGATAAAAGTAGGACGCATACCAGAGAGATGACAAGAAATGAAGAGCATTCGGATGCCCCGAGTAATTAAGAAAATGGCCACAGCACCTTTCTTTCTTCTCATCAATCCGCCACACCCTCCGATTGATTGTTTATCCACCTTCACCTCTGCATATATATACGTAAATTTAAAGAAGGGTTGCCAAAGAATCAAAGGCTTGAATATCGTTAATATTACCTTTGATAAAACAGTCCGAGTTCTTGGAGCAGAACACATAGAGTTGCAGAGATTGCATGGTTGCTTCTCCTACCAACCTTTAAATGCAAACAAAAAACCACACATACATTGAAATTAAATTCAGCCGCCCATCTTTTATTCTACCAAAAATTTAAGATCTTACATGTGAGACTCAGCCAAAGCCGACTGCAACAGGCGGGAAACATCCGACCGTGGCACCTCCTGCAACCCGACAACGAAGAGCTCAAATTCCCGGTTGCCACCTTTTCCTCCGACCAGCTTTTCCAAATCCCCATAACGCGCTTGCCCGTTCATGTTCCAAGTAACAATATAAATGCAAACGCCGCTGCACATGTCTTCATCGACCACGACGGTTTTTATCCCTTCGTGGGCTGCGCCGCCCTGGTGCTGGAGGAGCGCCGGCGCCGGCGTCTTTGAATTAGTTCCTGTACATAATCTGAGGAGATGATTCATGGGTCGCATAACGAACTGATAATGGGAAGGGTACGTGTTAACTTACAGATGGCGCATTGTATATTTTGATGGCGAAGAATAAACAGGGAATTGAAATATAAATGTGGAAAGAAGATAGGTTTTGGCGGTGACAAAGATTTGGGGAAACTGGGAAAAGTCAAGATCTCTGAAATTATGTATGGTTATGGTTCCTTCCTGTTCTTCCAACTTCCAAGAGTTAGGTTTGGAGTTATTTGACAACGATCGAAGTTACACACAAACATGAACACCATATTCTATATTTTTTAATCTATAAATCTAAGTTTCAATCGAGTCCTTTCATTTAATTATTAAATTTTAAAACTTTATGCTTTTTTAGCACATTTTTATTTGGTCCATTTACTTTATTCTTTTATATTTATACTCTCTTATTTTCATTAACTCTTTCATTAATGCTCATCTTCGTATGTGTTACCAAGTCATTATTCATAACAACAAACAAAGAGCCCGCTTTAAACTGTTACATACTCTTCGGCCCATTGGGCTCATTTCGTAGTCCTCTTCGGCCCATTGGGCTCATTTCGTAGTCCTCTTCGGCCCATTTCGTAGTCCTATTCGGCCCATTTCGTAGTCCTCTTCGGCCCATTTCGTAGTCCTCTTCGGCCCATTTCGTAGTCCTCTTCGGCCCATTTCGTAGTCCTCCAAGAATGTAGTGACCAAAGTTATTATCAATTACCGCAACCCTAAGGTCCTTTTTCTTTTCCGTGTTCGCGATCTTGCGTGTAGTTTAATCCATTTTGGCTTCCTACTTAGGTATTCGACTCGGTTAGTAAAGAAAATTAATGTGTTCCCCATTAGCCTTCGCAAGGACCTTGTCATTATTATGAGCCACATTTGTAAAGTAAATGCCTCTGATTGTTAGCCAATTATCTTGAGAAACTTCCCATTGTTTCTTCCTTTTGTTAAATCGTCTAATTTGCAGAGAAGCATATAGGTATATATGTTTCTTTGCCTAAGAGCAATCTAGTCGGCTCCGTGACCTCTGGGGTGTCCAATCGCTGTTGGAATGTAGGAAAGGGCAGTGAATTCATAGCAGCAGCTCATTAATTTTCTCACAAGGAGATAATGCTAGAAGATTATGTGAGTTCATAAACATTTTGTATTAAAAATTCACCCAGGTACTCACAGAAACGGCTCAAAAGTGCTTGAAAAATAATCACAGAAACAATCTCAGTTTCGAATAAACCAGAGTCTGCTTTATCATCATCGCCGCACTTATGCTTGTGTAGATACAATAAACCGTCTCAGATTCAATCAAATCGAAATCACACCGTCTCAGATTCAATCAAATCGAAATCACATTATTCGAAAACGTCAATAAGATCTCAAAATCGTAATAAGAAGGTAAAACAGTGGACAGAATCGAATTAAAAAAAAAATAGTGGAAGAAAAGTGAGGTTTAATTTCTCTCAGACAAATGCCTCAATTGTCGTCAGGGATGAATGGATTAGAGATCGGACTCGTCATCATTTTTCATCATCACAGAGAAAACCCCCATATAAAAATAAGTAGTCAATAAACTACAGAATTTGAAGAAGAAACAAATAGGCGGCCAAGTTTTGAATGAAGAAGACGGCCAGATCGCTTCTTCGTTCCGTTCGCAGAATTTGTTAAGACGGTGAAGCGAGAGCTTTTCGTCCTTGTACAAGATACTTTTTTGAAAATGAAACGAAAAATCTATCGTAAAAATGCAGGAAAAACAAAATAAAAGAGATTGATTTCTCTCAGACAAATGCCTCAATTGTCGTCAGGGGTGAATGGATTAGAGATCGGACTCGTCATCATTTTTCATCATCACCGAGAAAAAAACATCAACATTGATGAAAACTCTTTGCAAAAAGATTATTTTAAAGAAAAGAAAACGATCGGATTCAATTCGAAATATGCACCTGGAAACAAAAAGATTGAATCTGAAACGTAAACAAAGATGAAATCTCACCTACTCGAGAGATCGGTTTACACAAAATTCAAAGAAACCAAACCATGCGGCGTATGCTCCATCGGAGAAGGATTGATTTGCTAGTGATCACTTCCTTGGATATTTATAATGAAAAGATGCTTGGCGGCTAGGGCTCACTGTCCCGCCTCTTGCGCTGTTCGGTGGGCTTAGCTAAAAAACTTCGGCCCAATAGACTCTATTGCTCCTTTCGGCCCATATATTAATTTAATTAAAACCCCCAAAATGAGGAAGCTTTTATTTTTCCTAATTTATTCGCAATTAGCTTAATTGATGGACTTTGATTAGTGGTTTAGAACTAAAATAAATATAATAAGTTTTATCTACAAATAATTAGTTTGTATCGATTTTCATATTAGGTTTTCAATATCATTATATTGAACTCTAAATTCTTACCCTCGACCAAATTTCCTTTTTAATCTCGTTTTAATAAATGAACCATTGAATAATTTAGTCAAAATTCACCTCCAACTCTATTTCATTGAGATTTTATCAAAGTTGTATAATATATAAGTTTTATAATTAACTATTTATTAATTATATTTAGAATAAGGTCAAAATTCTAACACTATTTAGAGTCAATATAAGAGATTGTAATATTTTTTTTTTAAAATTTGAGATACAATTTAACAAAATTAATTGAAATTTGATACAACTTTGACCAAGTTTAAGGGATCAAAGATAACACCCAAATTCTCGAATTTGAAAAATAGGGTCTTAGTTCATGACATTGAAAAGTGACATCACTTCGTTTTCAATGAAAATAGAAAGAGTAGGACGTACTATCCACCCATGCCACTTGTTCGATGAAAATAGAAAAAATAGAACCTATTATCAATACTCACAACATATCTCCTACTCTCTTCCACTAAAAGACAACCAACCGCTAGAGAGGTCGGTAGAAAACAACTCAATTGGGATAACCTCAAACAAACCAACTCTTGCACTCATTGGAAGCTGTTATGCTCAAGTATCAAGCGCTTATTGTTTAAGAAGAGATGAAATATGTGGGCATTATTATTGAACTTCCTATGGTGGTCTTGGCTCTCCGATATCACCTCCAGGTCTAAAACTTAACAATAATAAGAGGGTAAAAGAATACTATCCTAACAGATCAAAGAAAATGAATGTAGAGAAGAGGAATGTACGTACTCGTGAGAACTTAAGTGATCAAGCAGAAAAGTGAAGAAAATTAACTCAAATCAAACAGGATGGCAAGTCCTGATTTTTCCTTAAAACTTCTGAGGAGGAAGCTGAAGATTTGAATATCAATTGATGGGGTAGGGCAACATGGAGCTCATTGAACAAATCATGATAAAATGTTCTAGAAATCCTTGCAACAAAATAAATTGTAATTAAGAGTTAACTAACCCTGAAAATAGAATGTACAGAATGCTACAACACTAGTAATTCTCTGCCACAGGTCTGGAAGGAAAAAGCCTCAAAAGAAAAGTCATTAACGACCAGAGGCATATCACTCCCAGGACTTGAAAGGTTATCATCATAGAAAAAATAGCTCCACTTTTTTCCAACAGTTCTGGAGTGTTGGGAAGCCCTCTCATTTGGAACATCAACCTCTCCATACAATGGGAAGCTTTTGTCAACTGGTAAAGTCTATAAACCTGCAAGTTGATTCGTTTTGTAAAAGATCTTGTTTACTCTTTGAAAGCACGAGGAATGAATTACTTATAACTAACGTACCTCAAAAATGATTGGAACGAGTGGCCAAGCAGCTGAGCCACGCCTATCAAGATGGGTTTCAAATGCCAACTGAACGATACAGCCAACCAGAAATGGAAACACTGCAACGAGGGCAGGCAGGCCAATCATCGGCCAAGTTACATAGACGGCAAATAGTGGAGCTACAACCTTGAAGCCAGCAATGAAGAAAGCTGTTGTCAAGTATCCTCTAAGGCCTGTAATGAGACTCCACCTCTTCGAGCTGAATTGCAAGTATGGTTTTTGAACACGATCGGTCACGAGCAGGAACGCAGCAACTCCGACATAAAATAGGACTTCAAACACCAATGAAGTCACAACTTCTGCTTGAACCATGCAAATGTATTGCGTTAGATCACAATATGCCGCACACAATGGAATGAAACAAACAGCAAACAAAAGGAAACCCCAGTAATCATGATATAAAATGAACTCGGTTCAATACTACCTACGAGAATCTCCTCCTTGAAGTAAGCCTCAATTAGATCGCCAAGGAAAACTTGAGGAAAAATCAAAGATGAGATAAACACTGCAGGAGCTAGTACCCAGAGGAGAGAGCCCTTGTCTTCTCTAAAAGGAGCTGACATCAATTTACCCTCTTCTACCAACTGGTGAGTGAGACCATGAAATGAGACAGAGCCAGATTTCCCACGAGAAGGCTCCACTCCATTCAATGCACTAACATACAATACACGATTTTCCTTTCCAGATGATTCCAACTGAGGCTTCCCGTTAGAATCAGCCACGCACATGAACGCCCCATTCTTCCTCTTCAACACATCCCCTGCAAAATTGTTTTAGCAGAAATCTCTCACTCAGTATTAACTCTTATCAGGCTGATCCAGAAAAAAAAAAAAAAAAAAAAAAAAAAAAAA